TAACTGACTATCCTATTCTCACTAATAATTTTTGTTTTCAGTCAATAAAATAATTATTTAATTTGTGGTTAATAATTTTGTCTAAACCAAAATTTTTGGAATAAAGCCATACTATATTAAAAATCCTAACTTGCTTTATTAAAAAAAAACTATTTTAATTCATATAGTATTTAAACATACATACATTACATATAGTAATTAAAATTATGTATTAATTATTAATAAATATGTTGCACATCTCTGAATATTATAGATAGAATCGTCATTGAATGTACCTTGATTTTACGGTTTGCATATTTGGTAGTTTGTATTTACACAAAATCATAAACATAACTTTTGTTTCGTTCTCTCTTTGTATATAGCGGATCTTGTACCTATAAGTCATAGTTTCCATGTCTAAATTACAATTTTACATGTTATTTAGCATTTATTGTAGATTCAAGTTAATGGTATAAAGAAAATAAGTTTTTTTTAATAATTTGTTCAAAATAAGACCTCCTATTTGTCCAGAAATCACTCATTATTGACCGATTTATTTTTACACAGCATACAACACGTAATTAATTCAAAACTATTTATTTCAACAGAAAGGAAACTAATCAATTTTCTTGTACATTAAAATTTACATGTGTAGTTACATAAATGTAGGTAGCTAGCAGTTGTTGGCCCTAGGACATGAGTCAATTTGTAGATAAATGTCAGTATTATATAATTGATTTTGTGAAGGAGGATGTACTCGTGTATTGGTACAATGTAGTACCCGTTAGTTATAGTTTATGGGGCCGTCTATATTGACTTGCAATGACAATGACATGGTGTGGCACGCGGACGAGTTGAACGTAGCTCTGTGCGTACCGTAGGTGAAACACAACACAGCGCTATTATGACGAGCGCTGCACGTGCACTGTACACGCGACTAGCTATCAAGCGCGACCTACTATTGGCTCAAGACAACGTTATTTACAGTCACGTGGAGCGGTTATTTTCCCGAATAAGTACTAAAATATCGTCTATTTGTACGAAAATACCTGCTTTTCTAAAGTTTTAAAGGAGTATAATGTGTTTTAGATGATATAACTCTAAAACTTTTGTTCAAGTTCTTGATGAAATTAAGTACAGTCGATGATGTACGGTCTTTGTTCTATCATTACATGATAAATGTACTTAGACAATTTTAGTAAACTGCAGTATAGAACGTATGTATAAACTGACAGATATATGTTGTTCTTTTTTAACATATGTGCAGTGAATGACTGAATGGACATCTTTAAATGTAAGTATATACTATATAAGTACGTATGTTAAAACATATTATTGGGGTAATTAAACACGAAGCTCTTTTTAAATAATTTAATAACTACATTAGTCACTATAAATCAAAAGTAAAATAGTGTTATAAATAATATACTATAGATATAAATAAATAAAAATATAAGAAAATAATTAAAAGGAAAATAAAGGCAAAATGAACCAACGTCTTTGTGATAGCTTAAGGCCTTAAAGGCCCTTAAGGCCTTTAATTTTCTACGAACGCCATCTGTTGGCATGGTACTACTCTGTTGTCTAGTACTATAATAGTAATTTAGAGATTTTGCCTATAAGAAGCTGTTAACCGAGAGTCGTGGGAGCTGTTGCCCCCGGACTTGATGCCCGGGAAACGTGGTACGTGATGTTGAAAAATAGTATAGACCTATATAATAATCTATCTGTAGATCATTATTTTTAACATCACTATTTGTACGTCATCTAGGACTCAATAGTCAATACGTTATTTAACAATGACTTTTGAAAAGACTGTCGTTTATAAACAAGAAGCGTAATTATATGTTACCAAAATACTTCAGCGGCCTTTATTCAATCAATCTTAATGAAGCGTTTCTTTGCTTATGATACGACTGTCTGTCTTTTTGGTATAGCTATGTAGTGCAATCGGGAGATCTCTATCTCGCAAAATCGCCGGTCATGTTCAGAAATCAGTGCCGAAATATAACTTGGGCGAGATTTCGCGAGATTGATCAAATTAAATCGATATCTAAAAACTTACTCGTTATGCACTCTTCATACGTTCATTTTACAGTTTGTTTGTAATAGGTTAGTAATGCTAAGTACCAAGCAGTGTAGAGTCTGAGAATATATTTTCATGATAATGATTGGTACAAAGCAACCTCACAGTAATTCGAAAGACGTGCGGTGTACCTGGTCTCTGCTATACCAAATTAAATGTGCCTATGTCAAGTATTGCATCTACCATGGTTAATAATGTCTCTCAACTATTCTATTGAATAACAGTTGTGACGTGACAAATGAAATCTTCTGTTTATATGTATGTGTGTTTTATTTCTATACAAACGTATTCCCCTCTTTTATCCATGGATAATTGTTCTCCTCTAGAGTATAGATATACATATTAAGATTGAATTGAATACAAAAATGCGACCATCAACTAATACAGTTTTTTTTATAAATTTCATTATTAATTATCTCTGCAATTTTCGCTTCGCTATTTTACATTTTCGAAAGTTAACACAATTAATACTGTTACAAGAATTGGTAATATATGGTCGGATAACTTTAGCGTTACTATGTTCGTTTAGTCAGTGATGACATGATATTTTTTATAGATAAAATGGTTGTTTACACTTTCTGTAAATTCTATTGGAACGGAGTATACCTACATTAATTATACCTACTTAATTACAAATTGTAAGTATGGTTGAAAAGTCATAATAAGTACAGATGACAGATGAGGTAATATATGAAATGAAATATAATAGAAGAAAAACTTACAAATGACTTACAAAATACTTTTCGAATAGTACATTAATTGTCTTGACAACTATCTATTGTTTATTATTTATATTTGAACATTTGCGATTATCTACTCTAGATATAATCTATAATTAGGATTTGTACCGAATATGAGTACGACGTTTACCAAAGTACTGCTGTGACAGTAATTATGGTACGGCAGTAATAATTTATTAATAAGACGGATAAATTTTGAAAAATCATTTAATATCGTACATTTATAAGGAACCTCTCTGCAAAATATAATTTTAAATTAACTTCTGGAAACATAGGCTATTTTATAATTAAATATTTAATTTAAAAACAATGTCGGAAAGTTGTGTTTTTACTTTATAAACTCGTGGTAGCCACTAATAACTGAAACCGTTAAAATTTTTACTTTCCCGATATATTTAGCGCATGACAACTTTTAATAGCTTGTTACGTTAATTTAGAAACAAATGTAATAAAATTAGATTTTTATATCACGGTAGTAACCGGTGGTTCAAAAAAAAACATGTGTATATCGACAAACGTTCCACATTATTTACCATCACTGCAGGTATTTTATGAGGTAGGTAGTGGCATTTGAGTAACTTATTCTTATACCTACATAGTAATGTAGGTATAAGAATAAGTTAAAAGTGTGAGAATATTTACAATAAAAGTACTCTTTTAAAAGAGTACTTTTATTATAAATATTCTCACACTCTTCTCATCTCATGCATATATAGGTACACACTTATTGCAATACACTACAACAACAATACAATACTTAGTATTATATTATACGTTTCAGAAACTTTCTGTGCTTTTCGTTTAGATCTCCACATTGTACTTTTTGTTTTCATTAGATATGCTTCTCTGTACACATACGCGGGTGGTCTGAAAAGTTTCCGACCTCAACTCAAATATCTTTTTACTGTTAAGTAGTAACCAAAGTTTCGGCTATTTTGGACGCGCAGTTTTTAGTTGACAGTAGTATGAGTGAGTCGCTGTGAGTGTTTTAGAATATGGAATAAAAATACTATGGATCTGTTATTACAAATCCGGTCCATCCGCCTTAGTCACCAAATCTATTCCTAAGCTACTTATTTTTGTTCCCACATCTAAAAACTACGCTCGGAGAACTGTAATTGTAAACAATTATTTTGCAGATAAAAATGCCGAGTACTCTTTGGGGGTGTTAGAGAGGTGGGACCATCGAAGAAGTGTGTAGAGTTACAAGGAGACTATGTAGAAAATTAATTGTAAATGTTAAGAAAAAAGTTGTATCATTAATATATCGGTAACATTGTCACCACTCACATATACATGGAATATTATGATATTTGAATATTCCACTTAAGAGCGATTTGGTCTATTTGAGTGATTAGTACTCCGACTTAAACCGAAAGATCATGAATTAAAATCTGGCCGTCATCATTAAAAAAAACTGCAATACCATTAAACTGTATTTATTATTCAGCTATAAGCGTTTAATTGCAATATTTAAAAAATATTCGCTTAGATATATATTTTTTATAATGACTTCAAATTATATATTATAGTTTGCAATTTGCAAGTAAATAAAAACTCTATATTGAGAGATCGTCAAATAATTCGAAGCCTTTTGAGCAATCTTGAATGGCGAGTTCGTAAAAGCAAATGCACTGTAATCGTAACGTTATTATTCTATTATTGTTGTTGTTTTATTCTTCGTGGCTTAGCTGTTCTCGATCCTGACGGACAATAAAAACTGAGTTAATTCTCCATTGACAAACCTGAGGTACTGGAGACATCAATGGTTTCATCTTCCACATTGTATTTAAATTCAAACGAAATGGGGGAAATCTTTTACTATAAAATTGTTAAATGTTATATATATAATGCTACCAAATTTAATGCATTTGATTCTATGTACATAATTTCAAGCTCATTATTTTTTTTGTACATAAAATATTCTTAGTAAATTATTCCCTTTCCTGTAAATAGGTTTGTAAAAATAGCTGTTGTCGCTACAGTCACTATATATGTATATTATAATGATAAGGAAATTTCTTGTTTTAATAGCATTAAAATATTTAGTACAAAAGTTCTTCACTGCGTGTAAATAGGTATTTATTTAAGTATTAAGGCTTTCATTGATCCCTACTGTACGTACGTACGTACTGTACTAGTATGGTCATTTTGTTACAAAAGTGCATTTCGTTAACAGTCATTTTTAATTTTAGATAAAATATGGAATGGGTACTACGGAGTCCCCAAATTCACAGCACATTCAGCAACCTCGGCTTTGTACACGGAGATGGATATCACATAAATGAAAACTGCAATGGTAAGGAAATCCTTTATTATGAACTGGTCTAATATTATTATTTGGTGTTGTTATCTAATTTATGATTTTATTAACAGCTGCTTTGGAAACAATTCTACGCAACATTTTGACAGAAGATAAATATTTACGAACGTACCGTAGAAGTATTAGTTTTGGGGAAAATATAAAGAAAGATCTGATTCCGCTCTTAATACATGCCAAGGAAGATAAAACCATAGAGTACATCATTAAAATATTGGTTAATTTAACAATTCCGGTTGAGTGTTTACTTTCCATTGAAGCTCTCATCCAAAATGACTTTGGACGTCATACGATGTTTGAGATTAATAATTTACTTTTATCTACAAAATCGGCTTTTACAGACAATAGGACGACAAGAGTTGTAATAGAATTTATAAAAAAAAATGTAGATATTGATCAGAAGACAAAGTTGTCGGCAGAGCAGTGTTCTAACATAAGTAACTGTCTTCTGTTGCTGAGAAACGTCTTGCATATACCAGAGGAAACCAGTAATCAGAGCCCAAGTTACAATGGCTCTAATCATACAGTACAAAATCAGATTTTATGGAATTTATTTAGTCAAAGCATTGATAAAATTCTTATAAAGTTGATGACTTTGCCTGATGCGGTAAGATATTTTTTAATTACGTGTCCTCATTTAACGTTAGGAACTAAACTAAACATCACAAACAACGTAGTGAGTACTAATTTATAATTATCCTTATTTTTATTATTTTATGTATATTACAAATATTTAAACATTTAAGCTGTTAAATGTTAAATTTAAGGTAAAAAGGAGAACCTTTATGAAAGGACTGTACATCTGTTACAGCGCAATCTTGGGGATATTTCAGTAACTACTAAAGATGTATCTATATTGAAAGGCATAGTTTCAGTTTAGTGCTTTCTTCTTCTTTCTTCTTTCTTTTATTTTTATATAATAGTTTTTGAAATTTCCAAATAGCTAAATGAAATTATTGCTTTTTTTTAATACCATGTAGTTTTCAACATATAGAAAAATCCGTTTAGTTTTACACTTTTGACTTTGTCCAAACTCCTCTGCGTGGGTTCTTTTGTCGGACCTATTTCATTCACAACAGCTTATTTTGTAAAATGTGTTTCTGTTGAAGTGTGAGAACCAATTAAGGCCGTACAATTACAGGCATGCCGAAACGCATTAATAGATTATATCAGTATTGTATTTGAAAAATCATCAAAAACTGTACAAATTGAATTCCAAACAAAAATTTTCTACAACAAATCTTGTAACATTTACCAGCAACTAGCGTACACATAATATGTAGATAAATAAATGTTTACTTAGAAAAACGCCCAGATCGCTAGACATATGAACTTAATTTTTGTGGTGTTCGGGGATCGTGCTCGCGACTATCGGTCAATAATTATAATATAAAGTATATAATAATCTAATTATTTATTTGTACTCGTCGTATACCTCCGAGTTCTATTCACATATTATCGTCATTTTTAATATAATATTTTATATATTATAGAATACTGGATGACTTTTTTCGCCGTGAGGAGAAAATGTGGCATAATAGGTGGGTACAGGAAGGCGAAACGATGGATTAAAAAAAATATGCTCCATTTATTTTTGTTGGAAAGTTATTTCAATATTGAAATAGTTCTTTGAGTTTTTGTGAGAGCTTTTGTGAGACAATTTTTAACTTTAGACCATAATATGTATCCCATATGATATTATACCTGTATGTTTGTGTATTTTAAATTGTTCTGTTATATATATTCCTCGTATTTTTAATAATTACATATCGTTACCTACAGCGACCATAGTTTTTTTATGAACAAAATCACAATATATACATCTCTAAACTTTACTGGCGGTATAAAAAATACTTGTTATATATATTTCCAGAGAAAATTCAAATAGGTTAGTATTCATTGTAATATCACTTCGGCTCCCTACAGATTCTACTTATGCTTATATATTAACTTTAACTTTCACCGAATTGCAAAAAATGTCATCCGGTATAATAATCTAGCAAAAATTATTCACTTAAGCCCAGGCCTGTTTTTTAAGAGTCGAGATGTGTGTTTTGTATTTTCTTCCTTTACAGACTCATTGGGGGGTTACAATGGTTCAGTTAATAGCACTGCTGTACAAAGACCAGCATGTCGTCACATTACATAAATTGTTGAATTTATGGTTAGAAACATCTTTATCAGATAGTTCGGAAGATAATGAGAGTAACACGTCTCCACCAGACCGAGGTAACATTCATTATTATTTACAACATTGTAGTTTTGTACACACCCATAAACAGATATTTAGTTCTAAATATACATGAGAATCTAATAACATACAATATCTAGGTTAATCTCATATAGGTACTGTAGTAACTATAATCACAATACGTATTATTGATTTTCAATTGCTGAAGTGTTTATTTTTACTTTTGCTATTTATGATTACTGATGGTTGCGTACCTAGCAAACAAAACAAGTTATTTTTAGGAAAGTAGTAACTACTTCGACTACTAACTCGAAATTCGAACTCGAACTACTAATCTACTAATCGATTTTATAAGAACACTTATATCAAGGAAGAAATAATATTTTATTTAAATTATTAACCGGGTCTTAACACGAAAGTTTAAAAGAAATAATATTTATCTACACTCAATAATATTTATGGCATGGTACGCCTTTTTTATGGTATGCTTCTTATTCTGCAGAAGTGTATTTATCTACAGATTAGAAGCATATAGTATGAAATGTGTATGTGTGTGAAGTTTTGCTTATTTTATCACAGATTTTCAGCATTTGAATGAAATCTCTATTTTTTTCATAATTATTCAATAACAGACAGAACTCAACATCAGAACCTATGGCTGTTACGCTTGCATTCCTTGTTTCACGGTACATTCATTGTAATAGATTAGCGGTTCATCTTATTGTTAACTTCACTTGGATAATAGTCAAGGACTATGATTGACTTTTAGGATATTCAATGTTAAATTGAATTAAAATGTTGAGCTATACGGTAATTGATAGAATAAACGAAGGAAAATATGATTTCAAATTAATAGAAAATAAGTAAATAATAGCTAATTAAAATTAAGTAGTAATTTACAAATAAAATAAATAATAGTAATCGTATGGAGTGTCCATCGACTCATAAGTTTAGGAAACACAGAACTATTACACATTACAAAGTCATCATACCTGTTTTTATTTCAACACAATTTGAAATATGTACCAAAATACTGATACGTAATAATAACAAATTTTAGGCCGCCGTTATTTATAATAATTACAGACTCGTCCTGTATTTTCTTTATCTTATCCTATATTCCTTAGTTAGTTTATTGGTGATTTTCATATATAAATCTTCAATCATGTACTTAAATTATAGGTATAAAATGCACATGTAATTTAAGAATTAATCAAAAGTCTAAGCACAAAATGTTACATTTCCAATTAAAAAAAAACCGGTCAAATTAGAGTCGTACTCGCATACTGAGGATTCCGAATAAATAATCTAAATACATAAATTTCTTTATGTGATTAGTTATATGAGTTTATTCTTTTTGTGATTATTGGCCCAACAATAGGTCTATAAAGATATCAAATTTAAAATTGATAGTATACAGACTAACGGACACTACAACTCGTACCATAAGGCCGCAGTTTTGGCTATTTGGTGTTTTCTCGAAAAGGAAAAAGGATTACGTTAATTCTTAATAAAAAAATTGGCCACGTTCAGTATAAAATCAGAATCGTAAATATTATCCACAAAATTTTACTGCTTTAATATCATAAGCAATAAAAGTACTTATTTAGATATGACTTAATTTAATAACGTAAATTATTCATTGTTATTATAGTAATCAAATTAAATATATGTGTAGTTTACTATAATACTAATAATGGTTACCACATAAAGGATTTTTTATTTCAGTAACTCTAACAATATCTTTTTAATTTATACTCTATCTGCTAGTCTGACGTATGAGTAATACTACTATTATAAATTTTAATCAAAATCTGGAATAACAATAGGTAAAGCAATTCGTATTTACTGGGCTTAGTCCATCATTTTGATAAAGCTTTAGGTATTTAAGCTAAAAATTAAAAATTCTATATTTTTTGACTGATAACAGTAAAAAAATATTGAACTTTTAATTTTTGTGCAATATTGTTACTTGCTTCTCAGTGTTCTCATTTTTTAATACTATGATTTAACTAACTAATTACCTACTTAGCAAGAAATCATCCTAAACCCTCTATAAACAAAAATTTCATAGAAATGGTCAGTGAAATCATAATTATCGTAATAGTTCTATAGCATATATAATAAATGTTATTTAGTTAGTTCTATATATATATATATATATTTAGTTAGTTCTATATATCAGTTTTGCAATATTTGCTCGGAAACCTCAGCGCCTGAAACCGACTTGCAATTTACCGGTTTTTTATGATTTTATTCGTTTATTTTTAATATTGGTACTTGTAGGTAGTGATGATTCATCCCCAATGTTAACATCGGATCCGACTTCAGACTCTTCAGACACGGGAGGAAGCGGCAAATGTAATGATGAACCCAATTCCGTCAATAATGAATGGGACTCGCCCTCCATGAAAAATACGACTGAGAATGGTAATCAGTCTTACCAAAAGCCGCCCGCTGCTGAAAAGAAAACTAAAGCCGAAAGCAAGGGAGAATCTATTGCAACCCAATCTGAAAACTCTCAGGAACAGGATAATGTAATACATATACTTATTGATAGATATATAATTATGTAATATACATTATTATTATGTACACAGCTGTAAATTTTTAACTTGTACAATATAATATTTTTTCCGTATATAGGTATTTTACATTTTCTTCTATATTTAATGTATCACAGTATATATTTAATCGGCTTTATGTTATTATATTGTATTATCTAATTTACGTGCAACGTAAAATATAGATATAACTATAAACAATGTTAAATATAAAATTAAGGATATAAAATCAATAGTGGACCCAGGACACCTCGTCACTAAAAGCAGTGCTACCTTATTAGGTCGTTTATTCACATTTGTCGAGTCGTTAAGTAGGAGTTTGGTTAAAAATAGATGTAGAACTTTATACATGTTAAAGTAATATATACACTATGATTACAGAATAAAGCAAAATCTTGTAATGAAAAAAATAATAAGGAACTTTCCAAAAAAAATGACCAGAAAGAGTCGTCTAATAGTGAAAAAAAGACAGTAATATCAGAAAACTCAGACTGTGGTTACGGAACTCAAATCGAAAATCAAGGTTCGATTTCTACGTCTAGCAATGAGGACGAACCAGCTAAGAAGCCCGTACACCAGAAACCTCATAATACCAAACAGAGGAGCAACAATAAAACACGTACCAGTACAAACTTGCAAGATAGGAAACGGAAGAAACTCGTAAAAAGAGGAAAGGCAAATATGTGAGTTATTTTTTTAATATTCAGAAATAATTAAGTAAATAATAGGAAGATAATTGAATTTGGACAAATGAATGACTCTGGCGTAATTATAAAGATTATTCAGAAATCAGAAAATAACTAAATTGTATTTAGGGACCATTCAATTTTTTTATTAATTATTACTATTTAAATGCTTACGAATTCGGGTAATCATTATTAATGCACTATTATAAGCATATCTGTATATGAATTAAAATAAATTTTGATCAAATACCTCTAACCGTTAAAGCGTGATTGTGTAAAAACATTGAAATATTTTTACAAACTTTAACAATATTAGAAATATGTCTAGGGCATAAAATACTTTCTTTTTTCAGTATCAATGTTCAAGGATTATCACACAAGACGCCTACAGACGATGACATTTCTAACATAATGAAAGAGTTTACAGTAGACTTCCTTTTGAAAGGATATAATTCACTGGTACAGACACTTCACAGCCAGATCATTACAAATATGCAACTGGAAATTGACACTTCTCACTTCTTTTGGCTCGTCACATATTTCTTGAAGTTTGCTACGCAAATAGAATTAGATTTGGAACATATATCTTCAGTGCTTTCCTATGACATCGTATCGTATTTGACCGCGGAAGGAGTAAATTTATGTGAGCAGTTTGAGTTGTCTATAAAATTAGATGGCAACAATTTGAAACCAAGCATTAGAAGATTACATCTTGTAAGTTTTTCATACGTTACTACTTGTTTATTGGGACGTTATTTTTATTAATACAGGCGTTATTTTTATATACGGGACCTTATTTTTATTAATACAGGCAGTGTAATTACTATAAATTCATTATTAATTTATTAAAAAATATTTTTAAGAAGATGACCATATCTATTATTGTAAATATATACTTTCTGATACAGATAATAGATAGCTGAAAAATGATTAAATGTTTACAGCAATTATTCGAATTAAATGTTATTATGTTATTGTAATTTAATCAAAAAAATCTTTTTACTTTTCATTTATTCTTATTTTTCAATTTTTCTAACGAATATAATTTATATTTTGACTTAATGAAGTTTAATTTAACTAAGAAATTAGATAACTAATAACTTATGTCTGGTCTCTATATAGTTTTCATTACAAATTTAATTAAAATTTGTCAAATGTACTCAACACATCTATCCAGTAAAGAAAAAGATATGCTTATTATATTACGACTACAACTATTTGGTCTCAACTTTACTATGATAAATATTGCCATTTCATAAATCCTACTAAGGGTATAGTAGATTTGTTAAGTTAATTAATTTTATATTTGCTCTCTCATACAAATTAAACATACATTTATCTTTTTCTATTAATTGAAGAAAATATCTTTTGATGACGATGCCTGGACATAACTTATTGAATGGCAATTCAAACAGTTCAAGCTAAAAACAGAAAATATGTATTTTAATAATTAGACTTTTGACTTTTATGAACAAAAGTATGAGTGTCATTTTTCACTTCTTATGCCATGAATTTGTATTAATTGTACTTTGTAAGTAACTGGAATAGCAAACAAGATTACGGCCTACCTAATGGAAATTGGAAACCATCTCCTATTTACATAAACAAACAAGGGCATCATATTATAAAAATGCTATCTGTTAGTGTTTTTATTGTAATTGACTGAATTGAATTGACTGATGAATTGATTACATTTACATAATCGCAGTTATAGGTCTAATGGAAAAGTATGTATAAATTTTCGCCTAGGATTATCATCTTATTTATCTCATTACGAAAGGTGGTCACTGCTATCCGAGAATTTGTTCAAGCCATAGAGGTATATAAAAAAATTGCTCACATGTGTAAAGAGGATCAGGATGCATTGCTGAAATTACAAATAAAAATGTGCGAAACTGAAGATCTACGATGTTTGTTGGTTTTGCTTTTACGCCATTATGATCCCAAGTACCATACTAAGCAATATTTACAGGTATTTATAACAAGAGGTATTTTTATATATTAAACAGAGCTTCAAGGTGGAGGGGTCTTAAACTCATGTAATAATAAGTTTAGTGACAGTACACCCTCAAAATAGTTGCTTTATTTAAAATATTACAGACGAACAATGATGCTCACATTTTGTTTATCTATATAATATATAAATATCAATATATTACTACTTATTAAATTAATTTGAGTTACGAGATATTTATCTATTAAAATTTATGTTTTTAGGATCTCATAGTGACGAATCACATATTATTGTTGTTTTTGGATAGTGTGATGAAGCTACCAGACTACAGTGGATCTACTTATATGCTGGATCATATAAAACAGTGTGTATAAATTATGTTATTTATAAAAAGTATGATATTGTATCTATTACCGAAATGGGAATAATTTAGATTCTATTATTTTCTTTGTTATTATTATATTTTATTATATATTATAGTAATATTATTTTATGATATAATATAGTTATTGCTGAGAATAACAGTTTATACTGTGTGTGATGAGGTGTTGCTACATAATATATTGTTTATTGTAGTACCTATCTAGGTAGTGAGTATACCGGTGAAATAATTGTACTATTTATTGTGCATTAGTAAGTTTATTTGTTAGCGGGCTAAATGGCTTATAAGTAACGCGTTCATTCGACGCAGAGTCGGGACGTAAACTGATTTTACATTGGACTTAAATCTATGTATGTTAGTGGAGACGCAAACCAATATAAGGGTCTGAAGTGTTGACCGAAATATTACAAGTGTAGGCACATTTTAAAAGACACGCTAGTCTGTGATTTTGAATTGTTCTTTAAATATACCATTCTGATATTACATATTTATTATTATAATTGATTTTTTTACTTTTTTTTGTTACACGTTAAGTTGAAATGAAGATAGAGTAAGATTGACTATACAGAATAAATAATGATGTAAGTTAATGTCAACTTAACAATAACTTTGTGAACTTATATTTCCGTCATTGGTGATTTTATTGTGACAGGTTTGCGACACCCGAAATAATGTATCAGTATGGACTTCTGTTAGAGGACTACGCCGGTAACGGAGAGTTTGTTAACGACTGCATTTTTACTTTGATGCATCATGTTGGTGGGGAATTGGATTGTTTGATTACATTGTTCCAACCGAAAATTCTGAAGACGTTCACTTCTATTTGGAAATCGGAATTCGAAATCTGTGATGTAAATATTTATTTCAATTACCTATTTTCACTCTAACACAAAAATGATTTTAAGATCCCTTTTCTCTTGATCTTGTACACTGAGAAGAGCTAATAAGTAAATAATCACACCGGCATGTGATATTAAAATCTTATTTTTCTAGTTATTTATCTACCACAAATACGAAGAAAATAATTATAAATTTTTTTTGGAAGAACAATATTAGAAGGAAAACTTTATTAAAAATTAAATACGACGTGTATTTTATTTTTGACTAGCTACCCACTCCGGTTTCGCATGGGTGTACATGAATTATACATATAAACAATTCATTTGAATCACTCTATCAATTAAAAAAAAAACCGCTTCAAAATCCGTTGTGTAGTTTTAAAGATTTAAGCATACATAGGGACGGACAGACAGCGACAGCGACTTTGTTTTATACTATAAAAAAATGAGAAATATGAGATGTAAATTAAAAAATATAATAATTTTTACACGTTATTTATCATACAGAATGTCACCATTTATTTCCGCGGAAATAAATGGTCATTTATATAGAAATAATCTTTATTCAAATAAACTCATTACAAGCACTTTTGAATAGTCATATTTTGATTCTACCACTCATTCGGAATGCAGATTCATCACAAGAAGAATAAGCAAGAAACTCGTGTGTTACTCTTTTTAATATATGTTTTTTTTTACATAAATAATTACAGTATAACAAGTAAGAGACATGCGAATCAACATAGAAATCGCTACGCGCTCATTATTAGTGTAATCAGATAATATTGTCAGTGCTATGGATTTAAAGTTTTTATATAAAAACATTATTATCGTTAACGAATTCTTCAATTTTATAGTAAGCTTTTTTTTGTAAAGGAACTGTTTTATTTGACTGATTATATTATATTTATATTGTGTAAGGTTTATGCTGCCGTATATTTAAAAATATAGGTGTCTGTACCGTAAATAGGGGACTTTAGAAATACATCAAATAATATAATTGCAACAGTTTAATTAATTGTAATGAGTGTTATTCCATATGTTGAGTCGTTTGATGTTTTCAGGATTGGTCTGACCTCATTGAATATGTAATAAATACATTCATTAAGAAACCACATACGTTGCAAAGTACTACTAACTTTAGACTAGACACAGAAAATTTTGATGGCGACAGTTTCTTTGTAAAACCGCTTACACCTTCCAAAACGACGAAGCAGATGTCTGATGTAGATTCCAGAAAAAGATCTGATGATATATCCGGCAGCACATCTAGAGAGAGGTAATATGTACACAATAACAATACATTGAATGAATACAATTAATTGTCGAATGTTAATTGAACATTTGCTTCCTATCATCTCTTCTAATACCACATAGGTAACCAAAAAATTCGATATCATATTAGGTAAATTCATACAGTTAGTATATGTCGGGGCTATAGTTATCCCAATAGATATGTTGGGGTTAGTAGTAGCAGTAGGTAGTCACAAACTACTGACGATTCTTCTTTATGTGTTTGGCTAATTCCATAGGATCTTTGAAAAAAAATGTGGTATTTTCCTAAAAATCCTCTTCCTTGTCTCCCTTTGTAATATTTCGTGTTTTGTTTTCCGAAATCCCTCCCTCTTTCGAGTCTACTTAAGCAATGGATGTTTCCTTATGATCATAAGAGTGTTGTATGTCGGTGAAAGCTGTAGCTCGTATAGTATACAGATAACAGATGGCTGTCAATCAGTATTTATATTATTTATAGTTTCTTAGGGGCCTAGTTGCAGATAAAAGTCAAACACAATTCAATAATGAAACAAATTTTATACTAAATTGAATTGTCTGTTTAGTCGTTATATAATTACTTTTTGCATAAATAAATATTGCACTTGTGCCCAATTATACCAATATTTTGTTTTAATTGGAGGTTTTAATTTTTATTTAAAACCGGTTTCATAGTTCATAATGTAAATGTAACTCAAAGTTCATGTTACATTTTTTAGCTACAGATGGACAGAAGACGAATTGTCATCATTGAGTTGGAATTACATGCAGTGCAGTGCCTTGCCGGACGTTATCGGAGAGATCATAAAATTATATAAAGAGGACGATGCAATAAAGCCTAGAGAGTCGGTCATAAAAGAGTTATATAAACAAAACCTGATAAGCAAAGATGAGCGTGACAATTTCTTAAAAGGAGAAACTAATAGAGGAGCTAATCTTATCCAAGCACATAAGGAAATGAGAGACGATGAAATAGGTAAACTTTGCGATCAACTATCGCAAGACGGTAAATCTAAATTCTTAGATTGGGTACAGAAAGTACTTTTGGATACATGTTTCGCAAAAATATATGTCGAGAAAAAAGGAAAATTGCAACAAAACGAAATGCTTGGTAACAAATCAGATAAATTATTGAACTTTGAATTGTTCAAAAAGAAATCGGATGACTTACCTGTTATGTCACCAGTGTCATATCATTCGCTATGTAAGTAGTATTGTATATTTGCCATACAGTTTTGTCGGTTGCGCCATGTTAGAGCGAGAGGAGCATATTTTTATTTTCACATAACCACATGCAATAGGTCTGGATTTAATACAAATTGTAAATATGACAAACACAAACAGAAATGTTTATAGAAATAAGTTCATTCTTTGTTTTAGTGTTCAATCAATCTGTGCCACTCGTTCCGTGGAATTGTGAACAGTCGTCCATTTGTAAGGACTTGAAGTTTTTGCAATTGCTTCATAAGCTAGGTTTCCACATGCCCGTCGATTCTGGAAAAGTATTTATCAGAATACCACACTTTTGGACTGCAGATTTTCTGTATGACGTTGCTGCTAAAATTTCGCCGATCGATAACAGTATGTTGTTTATTAATTTTAAATGTTTCGTTTTACCGTTTTACTTTTTTCCAAATTAAACATTGCATGCCTTTTAAATCAAACGTCGATTTTAATAAGTTGCTCCTTTATACCCAAATTACAGTAACTCTGAATTGATAAAATATGAATTTTATAAAAAATGCATCAGTGGCAATTAACTACTTAATACAACATTTGAGTTCTGACTGTACTTATTTCCTTATTCCAGGTAAACTAAATTTCTCATTGAATGATATAATGGAAAGCAGCAGCATTGAAACAGCACAGCAGAACAGTTTTATATCGGATGCTACTAAAGATGTTGTCATGGTAAAAACACCTGAGAACTTCTTTCAAATACACAAACAGAAACATCTAGCTACTATGGTTAATTTCACTCCCATGTAAGATTTTAGTTTTCTTTTAGTCTTTAATAATGATAATAATTTTTTATACCACTTTAGATAGCATTTTGTTATTATCGTGATATAATAATATATATTTTTTTTATAGGCCTGGTTCTTCATTTAATGTTGAGAATGAAGATGTTAACAAACATAATTGGTTGGAAGTTATACAAAAGTCTCAGGATTACAAAATTACTTTAAATTTAGAAAGGTATGAAACTCTTACGTATTTATCTTTATATTTGACTTATAACATTCATTCATAATTTTATAGATATATATAGCTGAGTCTTGTTGGTTGTGCTCTTACTACAATCATTCGAACTTTTTCCTTCATCTGCTTGATATAAGTCTTGGTATTCCCCTTCGTCTCTTTACTTTTATAGTAACAATAAAGATAACTAGAGATTTGTCAAAAAAAGTTTTATACTACGTATAAATTGCAAATTCCAGTCGTGGTTGTTAAAGTAACATAAAAGCGTAAGCTAATACGAATATGGGATATTGAGATGTACTTACGTCTTGTTATTATATCATATTTTCGTACGAAAGCATGTTTCCTCATTTATTAAAATAAAAAATTTTGATATATTAATCTCAGATTTCTTATTAAATTAGCTATTTGGGAGTAAAAGCCCTGTCAAAATCGGTTCAGCAGATTCAGAGCAAAAAGAGATAGTCATAATTTTTACATTAATTTTATTATGTGTAGGTACCGTATATACTTTCATATGCATGTAGTGAAAAGCTATTAATTTAATATTACAAACAGACAATAAAATTTTACTTATTTGTATTTGTAGACTATTATTAATAGTCTACAAATACCTATAATATTTTGTATTATTATTTCAGAAATACTATAGAGAAAGAAGACATGCACTTCGATGCAGTGATGCAATTGCCGACGAAGGATATAAGTTCCACGTCGCCATTGCAGCTCATCAGTACTCCGGTGATTTCAGATATTGTGTCGCCTTCACATCTGGTTATGCCCACTGTTATGAGCGTTAAACAAGAGAGTTCTAACTTCAACTTACATTTAGCAGATTCTGAATACTACAATAACAGGTAATAGAACTACTTATTTATTTCAGCCAACAGTTGCAAACATTTTTACCCAGACCAATACAGTCATACTCATGAGAGTATGAATGTTTGTATTGATCTGCACGTTTCCTATGTATATTATGTATGTATTTACATTTCTACACCCCTAACACACGTTAGTTAGTGTTTCCTATGAAATAATGGGAATATATATAAAATAAAAAACATGATTGAGTTTAGTGATTTGACGATTTCTTTTGTCTATGAAGATTGTATGTTGATGTCCCCTGTGATCGTATCAGTAAAAAATGAGGATGAAACACAACACTCAGTCCATAGTGGGCGACTGATCAGAATTTTTGAATTTATTATAATGGAATGGTACACCCGCTAGCGCTAACGCTATAACCTGACGGGCCACAAGTGAAGCACGATAAGGAAAGTAACAGACACCGAAACTGTGTTTAATATACAGATATCGGCGAAATCAGTTTGAATCTTAATTGTGAAGGATCATATCCATACCGTAGATTAGACCTACATAATACATAATATTTATATGTAGAAGAAATCACTTAAAGCCTGAAACATTATCAATGTTTATGTATCAGTGTGGTCGTAACTTTTATTTATCTAGGGTGACAAATCTGCTTGATAACAGGGCATTGGAAAAGGGGTCAATATATAAATGACTATTACTGCTCTTGTTCCCATAGTTGTGAATAATTTAGTTAATTATCTTGTTGCAGTGTGTGTGAAACCGCGTCCGTTGCATCCGATTTAACTCGCATGTATGTATCCGATGAAGACGAAAAACCAGAACTTCTACGTCCAGTAATCAATGTGAATCCGTTATTGGACGACCGATTTTCTAGTGATTCTGATAATGCCAGTGCTGAGAAACGGCCTCGGGTACAGTTTTCTCCGATATTTTAGGATTAATTGTGATTGCGAAATATTTTTTTCATTGTATTAGTTATGTAGAATTCCACCACTTTATTAGTAGTAGCTACACTTTATTATATCGGTAGTTGTTTCAAATTAGGTACTGTAAAATTTATTTTCGTTTTGGTTTATTATATTTTTTTGGTATCTAGAAGTATAAACTGATCTAACTAAACTATTTTTAAATGTTAGAATATTTGTAGTCTTTCTTTTATGTAATTTAATATTACAACTTTTATTTTGTATCTCATTTCAAGATTTTGTTTTATAGAAACGCCACAAAAATATATTTCGATGTGTATCTGTATTAGAATTACAGACTAGGTCTAATATTATATAATTACTTTTTCATTTAAGTTTATGATATTATGTAATAAGTAAATAGATTTTGTAAATGGTTTATTCTTTATTTTCAAATCATAATAGCTATTGACCTACACATCTAGTAACAAAAATGTAACAAATTAACATAAAACATAATAATTAATACATAGTACAATAACAGTACATTAAAGTGTTTCATACATCAGATACATACATAAATAGGTATAAAACAATCACACTTGGCATACATAAAAATTTAATGGTAACTGTGATCATTTGATCCTTCATTATGACTACTGCTTAATTGGTTTTTATTGAAGTAATCTTTAATCGCCGTATCGTAACTTTTCGATTCGAAGTCATTTCCATTACCAGAATTACCATAATAACTTGCAGGTTCTTCATACGAACCACCAGAAGATCCGTCAGATGAATAGTCTTGACCTAAATTTTGTCCATGTCCTGAATTATATCCACTAAAAGATTGACTCTCTGGACCATAAGAGTGTCCGCCGGACGAAGAGTCGTGTGCTGATAGTTCCTGCACGTGGTACGGGCTCGATTGACCACTTAATTGATGTGAACCTTGTAGGCCGCCGTAACCGCCATCACTGGAGCCATGCTCGTCAGATTTAGTGGACACAATGTGTGGCACTTTGATAATTTGTGGAACTGGAACCGGGTATGGTTTTGCGACTGGTACAGGATATGGTACTTTTTCTCTTACTTTTACTGGGTATGGCACTGGAATTTTAACTGCGATAGTTTTGGTTATTTTTATCACCTTCACTGGTGTTTCCGGTATTTCTACGTGTTGACCCAGATTTTGTAACTCAGTTTCGTATCCTTCTACTGGTATAGTATGTGAATGGTGGGATGCATAACTTTTATACACACAGCATAATAATATTAACAATATCTGGAACAAAATAAAAAAAGAGTTTTAAAGTGACTTCCTGTCTCAAACTGGGCTGTATCAAATTATCTGTATAAGTTTATCCGTCCATAAGATAACAATGTTACTTTCACATGAATAGTTAAAATAGCAGTTAATTATCAATTAGTTGTTTAGTAGTAACAGAATCTTATCTTTACCTACATTTAAAATATTAATGTAAAACTACTTATTTACTAAAACAATTTATTACTAGGTCACTTATTCTATTTTTGATATCTGTTAGGTACACATAGTGAAATAAATTGACATAATATAGCACAGTTGATGACATAAGATGTTATATAATTATTGGCAATTTCCGTATTCCGGACAAACAAAAGTTAAACTGTCGACGAGTGGTGCAACGATGTAGAACGAGAGCAATTGAAATTATTTACTAACCGGTATTTCCATTATGTCGCGCGTGACTGTACGTCTACAAGGCACTGAAAAAACTATCGAACGACAAGTGTTTTGACTTGCTTATATATGGCGCATTCTCTTCACTAGAAGAGACGGGGTACAGGCCGGCCGTTTACTTTCTTCAATTTTATTAGCTGTCGCTCTGTTAGCAGCGGCTGCAGTCAAAAGTTGAACACTATCCGTTACCATTCATTCATCTTAAGTTTCTGTTCACGGCCTATTTGGTTATTTATTTTATGTAATAACATAAAAAAGGGCGTAGGTTTGAGTGTACTGATAAACACAATCCTTATAGGCAGTTGTACATTCAAAATAATCGGGTTCATTTCATAATCTATATTTACTACGATTCATCATGAGACCAGAGTGGAATCCCGACGCTGTTGCTTAAGTAATTTAAACCATCCAATAGTTCATGAGGCCACAGATAAATACTTACGCTAAACGTTGAAAAAAGATGCGTTATAAACCAATTTTTGTATGGATAATGATGAATAGGCGCGCCCACCTGGACTAATGGTATACGAATCGTGGTATTTATTAGGAATTAACTGCAATAGCTCCGGACTCCGGACTTCGACGTGATATAATAGCTATATTGCTAGCATTGAAACCACTTAGCTATTACTGACATCCACTACAATTACAGCGTTCGTAAGGGGTTATAATATTTGTAATAGCTTGAAAGAAACCTACTTATAATCGTGTATGAACAAGTTGTATCTTGTTAGCAATAAACTCGTTTACATCACAATTACCTATCACAACATTGTATTGCTGCATATGTAATAGACGTAGGTAAGTATGTTAGAATGACTAGCCTAATTTTACATAACTACCAATAATCAATAACTATGTGACATACGTTAGATTATTAGTGGTGACAAACAAGCATAACGGATGTTCGTTGGCAGGGCGTTACCATAGCCTACAGACGCCTGAAACAACAGGAATTTTACTGCGTGTGGTCGTTCCTTAGGAAATCTTAATATGTAAGACCTTTTATATGTGATATAACTTGAAAAGCTCTATCTTCTATCCCTAAATATAATTTCTTAATAGAGGTTCATATTTGTTACTTTTAAAATATTGCGGTTATATTCCGGAAGGCGTTTTGATGAGTTATATTATTTGGTAGACATTTTTACATTAACACCTATTGTTGTTAGTATCAACTCCATATCTGTGGTGCATAGAAACCCAAATTAATCTCTTAATTTAATGTTAAAATGTAAGTTACTAAGTAATTATTATATAATTAGTCTCTTTTACCTTTTTTGTAAAAAGTCGTCAGCGGGGGTTCCTATTTTAGCAACGCACGCAGTTTGCTTATATGTATGTCGAAGCAGAGATGGCAGATTGGATGCGACGAAGCAGAAGCGTAGGCAGACCAACTGCCAGATGATCGTATGCTATTAAAAAGACGACAGGGCAGGCTGGGACAAGATGCGTCACAGATTGATCTGTGTCCGTCCAGCAGTAGACTAATAGATGCTAAAAGAGAGAAGAGGCAGCAGTTTGCTTCGTAAGGCGTGTTTCTATTGAAGAGCGAGATAAAGCAGTGAAATTACAGGATAAGAGGAATGACATCTTAATCTGGAATTTATTAAGATAAGTGATCCCTATTGTGGGTGGTATCACGGATGTTACATGACGTTCGCAGTGCTGTTCATGTATGTAGGCGACAATTACCATTTATATGTCATGTATTCAAAAAATTGCATTGCTAATATTTGGTGTGCGAGTTTTTTTACAACGAAAATCGCTTGTATGAATTTCAGATCTCTAAAGTGCAGTTAAGTCCCAAAATCGGCCCGTTACACCAAACAACATCGCAACGTATAGTAGATGCATAAGCCCATAATTTAATGATAGTGTACTGATATAGATACAGGCTCTCGAAACAGCGCCTGTCTTGCGACAGCTCGGTTTACATTTTCAGCAGCACTAGGGGAAACCGAGGAGAGTAGCGACAATTTTTATTAGAAAGAACATGTCAATAAAGATATATTCCTTGATTATTAACTCTGTGCCTCAAAACAACTCTATTCTTGTTCTTTTAAAAACAATAATCAAAGTCAATGAAGTTACAAGGTTTCTGAGAATGTCCACGAAAACTAAAACTGCTCTCTTGGTCAAAATATTAAAACTAATGGTGTAAAATTAAAAATGTATAATTCGACAAAGCGGTATCACATGTAGGGCACTACGCTGCTACGGCTGGTAACGTCATATGAAAATTTGACATTCACACATACATATAGGTATATCTATTGTAAATACATTACAATACAGAATATATCCTTGTGGATAGTTATAAGGGGAGAGGATGGCTGAAAAAGAGATGGAATGTGAAAGGAGATGTGATAAGAAACGAGGTGAATAAAAATAACACTGTGAACAGAGATGAATGGAAAATAGACACTTATTACATATAAAAATTCGTTCATTCACTTATTACATTTATCATGTAATAAAATAAAAAAAAGTGGTATATTGATTTATTATTTTATAAGTATTTGAATAGAAACAAACATAAATATAAACAAGTTCTGACTGGGCTAAAATTAAACTTTCATTCTATCAGATAGAACTCTTACTATAGAACCGGAGCCTCCAATATTGTAGGCTTTCTCATGCCAAAGTAACAAATGTCCACTAGAACCTTCCGACGGACACTCAAAGCCCCTATATATGTATTTCATAAGAATATCAACATCATCCCTGGACAGGTTACCAACAGCTTCTTCTATTTGAGCGGATTTGATAGCCAGTAGCACTTTCAGAGTTAAGGCTAATGCACCATCCTGAAATAATTAAATTTTATTAAACACAAATCCAAATTACATACACATATACATACTTCAAAGAGAAATTAACATATTTCAAGATATCTTCTTTATTTTAAAACTGATATTCGAAACGAAAATACTCTTTCATTGAATTGGTAGCAACCTTTTATGACGTCATATTTCAAAATAATAACAATAATATAATCTTTATTAGAACAAAAACTATTGTACAAATTAGGGCAGTAATGATAACAGTCATATTAGTAATAATACTGTGTCCTGGCTGAGAACGTTCACCTTCAGACAGCGGCATTACGGTTCCAGTTTATATAAATATATTTATACAATATTGATGCATACATATATTAGACATGCATCATTACTATTTACCATTACAATAAATATTTAATCATCTAAAGTATATATGGACACTCATGCACAGATAAATGTACATACTGTTATGATAATCGATAGTCATAGTGTGAGACGCAATAGATAGATTCACAATTGTAACCACATCATTGTACTGTAAGAACTTATTAATTATATCATATCAAACATACCAGTCTATTATTTGGTCAAACCAATACACATACAAACTTATTAGCTTATGTTATTAGTAAATACATAGTATAGTATATCTTTTTTATCATGTTGTATTAAAAAAAAATATATTAATTCAAGATAATACACAGCGCCATCTAGACCCAAGTTAAGCTAGCTAAAGCATGTGTTATGGGTACTAGATAACTGATATAAATACATAGGTATTTTTTTCATATTATGTATTATACATAGGACACATTCAGACCAACACAAACAATCATACTTATGAATACACATGTTTGTGCCATGCGAGGAATCAATCCCACAACCATCGGAAGTAAAGTGGTGTGTTAAACCATTAGACCTCAGAGGTTGTCATATTATAAATTATATTTTGTCTACTTCATTAGCCATAATCAAAACAGGTTTTGTGTTTGGGACTCTGTGAATTCTTTTGTAATACTAATATTAATTATCCCAAATGGTAGTCAGAGCCATCATAGGCAGTAAAATGTTGATATCATGGTGAATGCAACACTTGACATGCCTTGACATTTCACTTGGTATATTAAAATTTAATATAGTAGGGGACAAGTCCACCTACCACATATAGCCTATAGGGTTATGTTTACTGTGCAGAATAAGGAAGAAAATATAGTTCTAATGGTATGAAAAAACAATACCTTAACTTGTTGATTTGAAGATCCCATTGGAGCATTACTAAGTACTAGTTGAAGAGCTTCAATGCATCGTCCTGTATATCAAAATTCAGGAAACAGTACTATAACAATTGTGACTTAAAAGCAAATGAAGTAGTATAAAGCTATAAATCATTTATCACACACTAGAATACACCATTTTATAAATATATTTAATCAAATAATGAAATAAAATTAAACATAGTTAATCTAATTAATAAATAATAAGAATATCATCATATCATAAATAATAATAATATCTAAATAATAATAAAAGTAACTAATTATTCTTTTCCTACACTGTAAATTGTATTTAATAATTTTGTTTCCTTTACTCTATTGGGTGATACAAAACAATATGAAGTTCAAGAGTAGATAAATAAGTAACATTCTTATGAGTCACAATGGATTCACTATATTAAGGACTGGAAATCATATATATTAAAAATATATTTATGTACGATTCTTTATTACTGTATAAAAATGATTGTAGATTGAGATGATAATATAGAATTTATAAAAGGATATTGATTAAGTAAAGTCGAGACTTCGCCTTCGTCAGGACCGGTTGGCACAGATTGTTCAGCTTCTTCTTCTCTAAAGTTGTCTTCGTTGTACTGATCAATATCTATTTTTCGGAAAGCCGAACTTGACGTGTTTTTAGCCATTATTAATTTTAATATAAAAAACGAAATAAAGGAAAAAATATTAAAATTACAGAGTTTAAGAATGTATATTTATATTGTGTTTAGTAAATTGAAGTACATTTCACAAACTGTAGAAGAATAGAGAGAGATAGAACATCAACGATGATTTCTATTTTTTTTTATTTATTAATATTTTACGGCTCTGGATTAGACATTAGTGTTGCCTTATTATACTCCAAGTACTGCCAAAATCCACCTCTATTTTCAGTTCTTCAAGAAGTTTTCAAAACCTATATTTTAGGCTCTATTTCTTAGCGTTACATTATTTGCTTTTTTTACACAGTATTGCCATTATGAAGCATTGCGTTCAGTTAGCTCTTTATTCCACTGTGTAAGCTAACCATAACGGTCGTTGAATGGCGATATTTTCCTATTTAATTCAATCTGGTAACCCGCTTCTCAATGTGTCATCTAAAATAAATTAATTTGTCTTTGGTCATCACTCCTATGCTTTGAATAGGAATGATGACCAAAGATTATCGAAAAAATATCGATATACGATATAATTTTTCTTGTTGAAGAATTATTCATTCAATTTTTTCGGTACTATACAATTACCCATATTTTTATTGGATGATAATGGATTACTGCATCTATTAGTGCTAATATATATTGGCCGAGAACCAGTGGAGGTAGATACAATTAGCATAAAGTAAATTTTAACAAATACAAACTCCAACCATTTCCTTAGCCTTTGACGGTCTCGGTGGTCTAGAGGTTTAGCAATTTACTTCCAATGGTCGCCTATTGGAAGTAAAGCGGTACTTCCAATAGGCGACCATTGGAAGTAACGGTTCGATTTTTCGCACGATACAAACATTAGTATTCATGAGTATGATTGTCTGTATCGGTCCTTTTTTTTATATATATAATATCTATGTATTTACAAAAAAACATACATATATCTATGTATTTATCAGTTATCTAGTACCCATAACACAAGATGGCGCTGTATGAATTGTCGTGATATTATTATTAATATTTCCAAACCAACGTGTTAACAGCAAGTTATGAACTGAGACAAGTGAAACGGCAGTGGACAGAGCCATTATGCATGTACCCCGACTCATACTTCATTCCTCTCTGTGTCCCGTAATTTCACTGCTATATCTCATTCTCCATTCAAAAGATAGACTTGAGTTCAAGTTGCTCGGCGGCTGAAGTAGGTGACAGAGTTAGTAATTCAGACGACTTTGCATAATATCTACCTTCTTTACATGTAGTAAATTGATAGAACTTTTATTATTTCGTCAAATATATATTCGGTTATACGAATATTTTTGGCATAAAAGGTATTGTAATAAATAATCAAATGTTCACTATTTAGACATTCTTCTTAAAATTATTTTATATAAATCAAGCAGCAAGGAGAACATGTCGATGTTTTAATAATTCTTGACAGTTGATATCGATATTTTAATAAGACTTCTATATTGAACATCCTTAATTGCTGTGTACTTAAATAAAATTGTTGTGGTTTTCATGTAAAAATTCATTGAATATTTTGTTCTATTCTTTATTTTACTTTCACATTAGTATCCTATAGTTGTACTTTTCACTTGTTTCATATTCGTTTTATTAAACTTTATCAGGATGACAATGGGTGATGAATTGCCTGTCACATCTTTAGTTTTGCCCGTTCTTATTCGTCCTGTTTTGACACAGGTATGGTTACGTGACTATTTACTACTGATAAATAAACTGGTTTTAAGCACCTTTATAAAATTATAATCAATACCTTGTATATAGTGCCTCGTCTGAACGATTTTTGTCATTCTAGTTGGAAAAATATGATCTTGGAGCATCGCAGACGTTGCGTGCAGCGCTCACGAAAGCAGAAGCAGCTGTTCCAGGCCTTAACTATGACTTGGTGGCAGGAATAATGAGGAGAGCTGATATACCTGTCAATATGAATGAAAGCTTACTTCGACTTCAAGGCACTCTCACTGAAGCTGAGTGTACTGTTCTTAATCCTATGTTACAATAAACATGAACAATCTAATAAATGAAATGTTCAAGTTTCACAAAAACTATAGTTCTAAGAATATTTATTTTACAGAAATATGCTATTGTTATTATTCATATGTAGGTTTCTGTGTAGAAATTTAGTGCAACATAAACAAAATAACTTTAGGGGCTTTCTGACTTCTTGTGATTTTTTATTCTTGACAAGCATACATTTCATTAGTGCAGAAATTTGCAGAAAAATTTTGTTTTTTAAGACTATCATTGTCTCACAGTCTCATATCAAAGTACTAGAAAAGCGCTTTTATGTACTAGTGGAAATTTAAACTCCTGCAAGTAAACACAAACATATACTAACATTGTATGTTTTTATTTGCACATGCCTTGTGTTATGGGTACTAAACAACTGATAGAAATACTTCAAATACATTTTTTTATTTACAATATACATGGAAAATTCTTAGACCAGTATAAACAATGAATACAAATGTTTGCACCATGTGAGCAATTCAACATGTGACCATCGGAAGTAATGTTTGGAATTACTGGGTAACAGACACTGTCAGTCATCATCTCTAAACTTTACTATTAATCAGATTTTTATGGACATGATAGTTTTATAGTTTATCCAATTTTAGATATAATTAAAACTGTACATTTTATTCTCAATAATTCTGCATAAGTGCTTTTTTAAATAACAAATGAATTCCTAGCTTAATTTCATGACTTCATGAATCTTTGTTGACTTTTGTGTTTTTTATGGAAGATAAAGGAGACTGTTAAATTATGTTATAATAAATTATAATTATTCATAATAATTAATTGTTAACTTCACTAAAAGTAATAGCACTGTAAATTGGATATATGGATCTATGAAACAACAGTAAAATTAATTTAGTGAATTCTATATTTTTAGGTACTGATTTGAGATTGAATAGAAGCGAGGAAGCATTCCAAGAATTGAATAAGAAATCCACAGCACTGAAGAAAATATTGAGTCGCATACCTGATGAAATCACAGACAGGAAAACTTTTCTTGAAACTATTAAGTAAGCTTATGAAAACATATGTATATAAATTATTTGCGAGTAGTGATAATGTTTATTATATAAAGGTACTTAGATATTAATTGTCAAATCATTGATTTGATAGTTTTGGTGCTATAGGTAATAAAATAACAATAAACTACAGAATATGCCCAATCTCAACAGATATTGCATTTCACTTGAGACAATGTTAATACTGTCTTGGATGTAAAATAATTAAACTTTTAAATTAATGTTATATGTTCATACTGATATTATGGTAATAATCTATATTAGTATTGATTAATTTTGTTGATGTATTTATGTATTTTAGGGAAATAGCATCAGCTATTAAGAAATTACTAGATGCGGTGAATGAAGTGTCAACTTATACTCCAGGGGCAGGGAAACAAGTACTTGAACAAAGAAAAAGGGAATTTGTTAAATATTCAAAGCGATTTTCTAATACATTGAAGGAGTATTTTAAGGAAGGACAGTAAGTATTTTTATACAGTAGTTAAATGGAATCATGCAAGATTTGCATGATTCCATTTACACTTCTTAAGTTATATATGTACTGTAGGCAGAAGGTTTCTAGTTATAAAAATTTTGGATATCATATATTTGCTGTAACATAGAGTTGTTGCATTCTACTGGACTATTTTTTTTGCATTTAGCCTCTTAGTTCTTATAAGAGAGTCCAATATACAATGGACAGTATTTATTTCAGTTTAACATGTTTAAAATTCATGCAATTACCACTATCAGCCTCACATGAAGTTATAACCTTAGTATAGCAGAATATATTCAAATTAATTAACTTTAATGTTAAATATTTTTATTTTTCAGGGCCAATGCTGTGTTTGTTAGTGCATTATATTTGATTCATCAGACCAACCAAATCTTGTATACTGTTAAAAGCAAGTCTGAATAATTTACCGACTTAAAGAAAAGTATTCTTTAATTTATGTTGACTATAACTTTTTAATTGTTGCTTTAACTTTAGTTACGGTGTTTGTTGTTTCTACCATAAATGGTTAAAATGTAGTAAATAATCAAAATTATTTGATTTAGGTGTATATTTCCTTTTATTTTTTATTAGTATTCATGTGAAGTACATGTTAATGGGGAAATAATATTTAAAAGTTGAAGTTTTAAGTACATACTAAAATTGTATAATTTTAATAATTTTAGATTAATATTATATTTGTTAATATAAAGACATATTAAAAATTAAGTCTTAAAACTCATTTGGTTTACCCTTTTAAAGAATTTTATTATGTTTCTGTCATGTGACAGAGTATCAATAATATAATTAATTGTCAATTGCAAAGAACATCAGTTACATAATATGTAGGATTTTTACATTATCCTATACATTATATAGCTTATTTATATAGCATAATTTTAGTTATTAATAATATATTGAAAAATAATCTACTTACAATTGTGTATAATTACTAAATACCTTTTGTCTAATATTTAGTAGTGCACAAATTATGTTTTTAAAAATATAAATATTTAATTATTCAAAATTATAGTTTTACATAGAGTTTAGTGCATTGCCATCATCATCGTATATTTCGCACTAATAGAATCCAGGATATACGCCACCGGTAATTGTAAGGCAGGAAAAGATCAAGATAACCAATTTCCTCCCGGTTAAAAACTTCAAAATTATTAAGAAAATTCTGTTATGAAGTTTAGTAAAAGTCAATATCTTTTCCGAAGGTGGGTTGAGAAGTAGTACCCTAGCGAACATATAAAAACATCAGTTATTTCCTCCCGGTTCGAATTGCTATCAAATTATAGATACATATTGAAGGCAAAAATTATTTGGTAGGCTATAGCGTGGTGCATTCTATGTAAGCACGAATATGTTAAAAAAAGTTCCTTGATTTCCTCTCATTTAAAAATTTGTCAGATCTGTTTATGCTATTTAAAAAAAATAAAATGGATAGTTGTCTGTAATGTGTTGCGATGCTTACTACTCAGCTGAAGTCATTTAAGTAGAACAATGACAATTCGACTTTTGATAATGACAGACCTTATATAGCTCTAATTTAAAAGTCAATTTCGTTAACCTTATTTATTTAAATAGATGACTTTGTTAGTTTGTTTAGGCCGCGTTAGATGTACAAGCTGTACAAAATATATTTTTATATTTAATGACCACAGAATGATTGAATATAAAGCTTATCTAAAATTTTATATATAACTACAATTTTATTTAGAACATTCTATGGAATGTAATTAAAAATAATTATTTTTAAACTTACACATCTATACATTTCAATAAAATTGGAGTGTCTGTTTGTAATATTGAAATAACCATTTTTTACTACATGCATATGGATATAAATACGTTAGATACACCAAAATAACGTTTTTTACAATTTTAGTTTGGACCGATTTTAACGGGACTTTTTTTGGCAGGTAGTTGATGTAATAAGGAGTAACTTAAGCTACTTTTATTTTAGTAAAATTCTTTTATTTTAGAAAAATAATAATGATAGAGATAAATAATTTTCTTAGACTACAATGTAATGAAATCTTGTCACACAAAGATTATCTTCATATCACACCAATATTTTTTTATATTATTCCCTAGGTCATATCCATAGCGAGGACGGTATTCCCAGCATATACCTCTTTCCGTCAAATTAAATCAAAATTAGTGTAAAATTTGAAAATTATTATTATGGTTTAATTTAAAATTTTTTAAACAGCAGATAATTAAAAAATGATAAGAACTATATTTTTTAACGTTTGGAAATTCTTCGAAAGACTAACCACCCGACATGCGGGGTAGGTATGTGAGCCATATTTGGGTATTCACTAAAACCACACGGTGTAACTCCAAGCCATTGCCAGAGTCATGGGGGTGCGTCAGCATTCTATCACGAGTTACCTGAGAGAAAATAACCCTTAAAAAAATTATTAGGAATATATCCATAACAGATCTCTCTGCATATTTGTTTAGATTGAAACTATCTTAGTTGCAATAAAAAGGCACCCGAAAGGCGTATGATAGTCAGTTTATTTTGACTATTTACAATTTTAATCAATAGTTTTATGTCATTTGGTATATTACATACATCCTTACAAGAACCCTGTGAGTGTTATAATATATACCTAAATCAATATTTTAAATTTGAAGATTCCTTAGGGCCTTTACACTTATTATTTAATAACTTTTACGAGTATCTCATGTTTTATTCAATGATATTGAATTTACATACTGATTACTATTTTTATAAATAAAAAGTATAAAAATTATTGACATAATGAGCACTACATATATTTCTTATGTGTCAAATAAATCCCTTGGGAATTTTTTCAAAGCATAGTTTTTGGCAGTTCCACTTGGATTGCTGGTCTCAGTGAAAGAGTTTGGTAAAATGATATCGTGACCGCACTTAATGGGTCATGAAGCCTGCGATGTGATTCGTCTCGTCGTGCGATCGCGGACAATGGCTGGTCGTGTCTTTTGCCCTCGACGCGCCTCCGCTATGCTTGCCCGTGACACTTGACACAGGAACCCATGCTCCACGACCTCCACATATTTCCGCGTACATCTTTTTTATCACAGAACCATGGGCTATCTGCCTACGTTTTAATTTGATGAACCGGGGTAAAAGCACCGTCATTTAATGGAATTAGAAAAAACTTTAGAAAACGAATTACAAGAAAGCCGTATCAATCTACCAAAATGGTTGCATACAAATAATGTAATTAGAAGGTACAAATGCAAATTGAATAATTATATATTTCTATATGTACAAGATCAGCACGATAGATATATGACAAATACCTACTAAAACAATTTTATTATTAACTAGCTGACCTCCCGCGACATCGCTCGCGTGGTATTTACCTTTATTTTTCTAAAATAAAAGTAGCCTAAGTTACTCCTTATTATATCAGCTACCTGCCAAAAAAAGTCCCGTTAAAATCGGTCCAGCCATTTCAGAGATTAGCCGGAACAATTAACTAGAAAATAATGTCATTTTTGTCGTTAGTTAACTTTATCGTTATTAGCCAGAATACATTATGCTGAATGACGTTTGATTGTTAACTAATGACCTTAGGTATAGAATAGATAGATGATATGAGAAGATATGATGATTACTTGTTGTTATATTTTTGTATGACCCCAAGAAAAAAGTGGACTTATAAGATAAAATGCAATTTTTTTATGTTACAAAAGTACTAAGTACAACACGAATACTAATAAAAGAGGCGATATCTATGAGCGAGCACTAATTAGAACTGAGTAAAACTTCTTATTCCTCTATGCGTTTCTAATAGGAGAAATGCGAGAAAGGTCATGAAAAATATTGACGGAGTAAGAACACGTCTGAAGCAACGTTTCGTCCTTACAATGTTAATGCTGAGAGAGAACGGGACTGTAAAAAACTTATATTCAGTTAAAAAAATATACCAAAAAACTTAATGCTAGGTACAGTCGAAAATTTACCAGTTGACGCACCCAGTGCCACCCAAATAAGACTCATTTTGTGAGTGTGAATGAGAATTCATACCACCTGTATTATTAAGCAACCTGGCGTCAAATATTACACAGTACATACCTTTAACTATCGCAAATTTATTTACCACTTTTAATAGTAATAAGAAATGTAAGAGCATTTCCTGCTACTGAATGGTAAACTACCCATGGTAAGTGTCTTGAGCAGTGATATTTATATACTATACTAATCGCAATCGTTTAGATACACTTACTCTAAAAATTTTGGGTAAACACTAGGTTAACTGTTCTAAATAATTTGTAAATACATAGAGTTCCGTGAATTATTAAAAATATAGTAATTTTGGCGCTCAGACATGGCTTGCATTCAGGCAGACTCTAAACTAGACAATGGCTCTACATTGCCCGTAGAAGGACACAATAATTAACATTTTTCATTATTTATTCAAAAAGGAAAGTAAAAAGTTTTATTTTGCAGTTGTCTGTTCTTATATATTGTAGTTGAAATAGAGAAACAAATCAATAGAGATCTAAAGATCGAATCCAAAAGTGAGTAATTCATAGATAGCAAATAGCAATAGGTATACATTTTCGGTTGATGATGTTACGATATAAGTATAGGATAAGGAACTCCGGACATATATTCCTGAGGACTTGTTATTTGGTGTGTGGCGCATTATAACTATAAGCGAAGGGATTGCCATGTCTTCACATTGCCGAGGCAGTTGTTCTACTAATATTATTATATATTTTACTAATATGTAGTTAGGTAGAGTCGGGCTATTTTTTAATTAATAATTACTTCCATGTTTTTTATTGAATATTAGTGAGTGATATGAACATCATATCTCTATGTAAGATGTTATAGTGATTTCAATAAAAACGAGTAATAAACTGCATTTGTATTCAATATAAATCACAACATCAGGTACACACAACTAGGTACCTATACTTATAACTTACTCTTTACAATACCTTACTTTCTTTCTGGATTAATTCGAGCGTTATTCTAATGACACCGAACCTTAACAATGAGTCAATCATGCGGATCAGTTAAAATATTCATAGCTTTAAAGTGGAGGCGTAATCGATTTTAAGTTCGGCATGCTCGGTGTTCGTCGCTGCTCTATCGACCTGATGAAAGTGTGAGATATGACGGTTGGTTGTTATGTTATACAGATACAAGATATAGCTTATGTTGATATCCTAGTTGATTATTGTTGTTTCTTATTTAATTCACATAGTTCACATTATTCTCATTATTGGGCGTTATTAGAATATCGATTAAATTTTTGGAAGTTCATAAGTCTTTAGTCATTATAAGTCAGGATATATTACGCTGATTAACAGAAATAGAAATAGAAATAATCTTTATTCAAATAAACTCATTACAAGCGCTTTTGAATAGTCATGTATTGATTCTATCACTCATTCGGAATGCAGATTCATCAGATGAAGAATTAACAAGAAACTTGTGTGTTCCTCTTTTGAATAGATGTTTTTATTATATAAATAATTAAAGTATAACAAGTAAGAGGCATGCGATAATCAACATAGAAATCGCTACGTACTTGCTAATAGTGCAATCAGATAATATTGTCAGCGCTATGGGATTTAAGTTTTCCTATAAAACATTATTATCGCTAACGAATATTTCAATTTTATAGTAGG